AAAAAAAAAAAAAAAAGAAAGAAAAGAGAAAAGAGAAAAGAGAAAAGAGAAAAGAGAAAAGAGAAGAGAAGAGAAGAGAAGAGAAGAGAAGAGAAGAGAAGAGAAGAGAAAAGAAAAGAAGAGTTTAATCAGAAGTCAAAGAACTCTTGTAGTTAAAAAGTAAAAGCAGCAAACAAATCTCTTCAGCTGCCTGCCTGGAACCGTCTGCCGGGATGCAGCTGTCTTGTGTGATAAAGGTGATACAAAGTCCAAACCAGTGGCTGAGCAGGAGGCTGGGCGGGGTGCGGGAAAGGGGGGGGGAGCTAACGAAGGAACATCCAAACACAAAGCACCCCTTCCTCCCTCTCCCTCCCCCTGCTCTCCAGTCACTCAGGCACTGTGCTGTGGATGCCCCAGGGCCTCCTGCCTCCTAGGTGAGTGGGCTACGATAGGCGGCAGAGCCTCTCCAGTCACCAGAGCCTCTCCAGTCACGTGACTCCTAACACTTGTGAGACACAAGACATGACAGTCAGAGGAGGGTGTTTGGGGGGAGGGGAGTCATCAAAAAGAGGACAGGAGGGGTGGGGGAGAGGGTGAGTGACAACAAAGTATAAATGTCACACGCAGGAAAATGCATGCAAAGCCCTTACATGCCGGCGAACGGCACTTGCTGCACAAGCCTGAGGACATGAAGTCAGTCCCCAGAGCTCAGAACCCTCCGTGGAAGAAGCACGGACTCCAGAAGCTGTCCTCTGACTTTATACAACCACATGCATGCCTGCACTAGCATACCCTCTCCTCGCCCTACCCTGACCCCACACGCACACACCAATGAATTTAAAAATTTTTTTTTCACCCACTACTTTGTATGTAAACTTAAAAGCAATAACAAAAACTAAAAACAATACAGTAAAAACACTCCATCTCCGTACTGGTGAAACAGCTCTCCAGGTTAGGGTACTTGCAGCCTGATGAGCTGAGCTTGGTCCCCAGAACCCACATGGTGGAAGAGAAACTCCTGCAAGCTGTTCCCTTCATACAAATGCATCACATTTACATACACATACAATAAATAAATAAAGCGATACATTTCCAATCGTTTCTACATTTCTATACCCTTATACAGAAACTTGACCCAAACAGGGCTGCCCTTGTTTCATGAAAGCACACTGGTCTTTTCTCTACCTCTTTTTGGATGATCGATGCACTAAGCGATTTGACAGCCCAGAGAGCCATCTCTCCAGCTCCTCCAGAAAATTGATTTTTTTTGTCTTAACTCTTCATTTATGTCTATTTTCTTCTGATGGTCAATTTTCAAATACATAAGCAAAGAAAAGGGTACCCCATAGGATTACTGTAAGGATACAGAACTTTATAAACTAGCACTTTGAAATTATAAAATTTCAGTGGTTAAGAGGACTGTGATTCCCAGCTCTGCCATCACATAGCTCACCAGAGCCCGTCACCCCAGGTCAGAGGGGTGCTGGATAGTCTCATGTCAACCTGACACAAACTAGAGTCATCAGAGAGGAGAGAACCCCAAGTGAGAAATGCCTCCATAAGATCGGGCTCTAGGCAAGCCTGTAGGGCATTTTCTTAATTAGTGATTGATGGAGGAGGCCCAGCCCATGATAGGTGGAGCCATCCCTGGGCTGGTGGTCCTGGGTTCTGTAAGAAAGCGGGCTGAGCCAGCCAGTAAGCAGCACTCCTCCATGACCATTGCATTAGTTCCTGCCTCTAAGTTTCTGCTCTGTTTGAGTTCCTGTCCTGGCTTCCTTCCATGATAGACAGAAGTATAAGCCAAATAAACCCTTTCCTCCCCAACTTGCTTTTTGGTTATGGTGTTTCACTGCATCAACAGAAACCCTAACAAAGACAGGGATCCAATTCCTTTGGCCTCTGTGGGTACCTGCACTTGTGTACATACCTACACACAGATGTGTACACCTACATAATTAAATATAATAAAAATAAATGCTTGAAAAGAAATGATAAGGGTTACTACATAAGGGACTGGCAGTTCTGTTATTGTCATATTCTTACATAGTCTTGCAAAACACTATCTCCAGTCCCAAAGCCTGCACATTAGAATCTAGTATGACTTTCTGTTCCTGGTTTATATATTCAAGATGAAAGGAGACGAGCATAGTTTTGCAGACATACATGGAAAGATCTGATTTGTGTTTGCAGTGTCAGCAGATTAGCAAAGTCCTAGACTGTACCAACATCAGAATGATAAGCAAGGTGAGATTTGTAAGCCCTTTCTAATAAACTAGACAGAAGTCTGGATTCTGCCCAACCATGAAGAACATAGAAAGGATCAAAAAGAAAACGCAACTGAAATTGTTGATGTGATATAGTCAGGCAAGCAGTGCTACTCAAGATCCCAGTGAGACAACGTAAGTAGGTAGTTAAGAGAAATTGTGAAAGAAATCCGACTTTAACAATTAAATGGGACTGGGAAGACACTAGCCAGGCCTGGCAGGGAACTCCTGAAGTCCCAGCAGATGCGAGGTGGAGGCAGAAGGATTAAGAGTCACTCTTGATTATACAGCATTTGAGTTCATGGCCAAACTGGGCTACATGTGATTCTATCAAAGAAACAACAACAAAAGAAAACAAAACCACCACAGAGAACCTACTGGAAATGAGTTAAGACATGAGAATTGCACTGTACACAATCGTTTCCACATTCCAAACCTGTTATTTGATGTTCTGTTTTTTCCTTTTCTTTTCCTTGGGGTGAGGAGTGAAGGGTGGGGTAGGGTCGACCCTGGAGATGGAACCTGAGGCTTGATGTGAGCTACACCTCGACCCTCAATGTTCCTAGACACTTAACTGCCTCAGCTGAACTCCAGACCTCCCCCATGACTTATCCCGTAACTCAGAGGCCAGGTTCCATTAGCTGCTTCTTTGAAACAGCAATCTTCCACAGCTACCTTAAGCCCTGTAACTTGTAGGAGTTAAGGATAAGAATAAACAGAACACTCTCCTGGACTCTTGGTTTTACTTTTTGAGACAGGGTCTCACATAGCCCATGTTGGCCTTGAACTCCTTATTCAGTCAAAGTTGATCTAGAAACCTCCTTGCCTTTACCTCCCCAGTGCTGGTAGTAGAGGTGTGTGCAATACCAGCGTTTGGCATCTTAATTCTTTAAGTGCCGTCCCTTGGGAATCTTCAGCTCTACTGTCAGTACCGCCACATCCACATCTGCTCTGTATGCATTGTAACTGTTACCGGTGAAGTTTAAGTTCATCTTTCTCAGATCCCAACCTTTTCTACTTTTCTCCCTCAGACATATTCAGGTATTTTATTATTAATCCTTTAACTTTGTAAAATTTAAAGGATATGCTTTTGGAATGAAACCTTTGTACATGTTCTACTCTTAAAAGTGTGAGCAGAATTCTCTGGGTGTTCAAGGCCATTCTGGTTTACATAGCGAATTCCTGGGTAGTCAGGACTATAGAGAGAGGCTTTGTTTCAAAAAAGAAAGAAAAGATCATTCTAGCAGCAACATGAAGTTGTTCATTTAAACTGACAAGTCAACTCTGAAAGCTACACAGCTAAGACATAAGCTATCACATACCCAGTACAAAGATCTACGGATGAACTGAAGAGCAGACATTCTCTCCTTCACTGCCCTTCAACAAACACACAGGCTAGAAATACACATAGTCAATACAGGACAAAAGTGGTCATTTGTCATACCTCCACATCTGAAGCACTCCGGGGCTGGGCTTGGCACAGCATATTTAATAATTGCAAAATTAATTCTTCAACATACTGAAGAGCATCATCATTAGATTCGAGAGTAGGATGAACTTGCCCCTGAACCTATAAACAAAAAATGAAGTAATTAAAATGTGGGTTTGTACTAAAGAATGTGGACTAGCCTACAAATACAGATTGAATGTTGTCTAAACCCAGGGCTTCTCCACCTTAGTTCCCAGCCTCATGCACCAGGCATGCTATTAATATCTCTGGAGATCCAGTTACCTAACTGGAATGTCACTCTTTGTGCATACACCATGGTTGGCAATGAGATGCAGAAATGGGAGCAGGAGCAGAGCCTACTGTGGTGTCAAACGTTCCGTTTATGTGGGATGTCTACCCAGAACCAGTTAGAACTTTCTTTAACATTCTACTGGGGTGGAACTGACCTCTGATGGGTCTCTCTGTACCTTGTTTAATTCTACCTTCCTTATTCAATGATAAGACCCAAGAGGATATGTCATCAGGTCCACTAATAAATATCCAGCATCTAGTACTATGCAGAGCACACACAGTCCAAACTGAATAGATATTTATGAACACAAAGTCACCTTACATCAACATGTAGCCAGGGAGGTAGCTCAGAGGATAAAAGTACAAGCCAGGTGACCAATTTGATCCACACACAAATTACACATTTGTAATTACTGCATTTCTACAGCCAGATAGGAGTCTGAGACAGAACTACCAGGAACCTGGCAGGCCAGCTAGCCTGGAGTACTTAGCACAGCAGGAGAAATAGAGAGACTATGTGGAAAGTAAGAATTTACTCCCCAAAATGATGTCCTCTGACCTCCATATGCTCTCTCTCTCTCTCTCTCTCTCTCTCTCTCTCTCTCTCTCTCTCTCTCTCTACACACACACACACACACACACACACACACACACACACACACACACGATCCAAATAAGCACATTTGGACACTTGCGATTTAGTCTACTATACTGTGAGAAGATGGGCAATTATTTAAAAATCCTTATTTTTCCATGACTTTTTTCAGAATTGCTTAAGGCTGTTGGTCTCTACAAAGCTTTCATTTTAATACCCAGCACAACAGTTCTCATTCCTGTATCACTCACTGTGAGTCAGAACTAATCCTCACCAAATAACTGGCAAGAAAAGTCATTCCTGATGATAGCTGTGCTTTAAGACATGTACTCCCACCCCCCAAAAAAAGACATGGACCACTGGCTGAAGGCATTCCGTATGGAGAGGATGACAGCCTCAGTGTGGGGGAAAACTGTTAGTAAAAGTATACCCTAATTGGCTTTTTTTTTTTTTTTTTTTTACTTTTTGGGGGCCCTACCACCCAGCTCACAAATAAATACACAGAGACTTATTCTTACTTATGAATGCCGAGCATTAGCTTGGCTTGTTTCTAACCAGCTTTTCTAACTTAAATTATCACAGCTCTCTATGTTTTGCCTCTGGGCTTTTTACCTCTCTTTATTCTCTATGTCTTTCTTTCCTTCTTACTCCATAGCTGGCTGGGTGGCTGGGTGGCTGGCCCCTGGCGACCTCCTCTCCTTTTCTCGCTCCTCCTCTTCTCTTTCATTTATTCTCTCTGCCTGGCAGCCCCACCTGTCTTCTCTCCTGCCTTGCTATTGGCCGTTCAGTTCTTTAAAGACTGTCAGGTATTTAGACAGGCACAGTAACACAGCTTCACAGAGTTAGACAAATGCAACATAAAAGAATGCAACACATCTTTGCATCATTAACAAATATTCCACAGGAGAGACAAATGTAACACATCTTCAACTAATATTCCACAACAGTATACTAATGATGATTTTCTTTTTTTTTTTTTTTTTTTGGTTTTTCGAGACAGGGTTTCTCTGTGTAGCTTTGCGCCTTTCCTGGAGCTCACTTGGTAGCCCAGGCTGGCCTCGAACTCACAGAGATCCGCCTGCCTCTGCCTCCCAAGTGCTGGGATTAAAGGCGTGCGCCACCAACGCCCAGCTCTAATGATGATTTTCTACAAAATGTATATTTAAATCATCTTTCAAGATAAGTATTTGAAGGAAATGGTATTCTAACAACTCAGAGCTACACAAGGGACACTTAGACCAGAGTGGTTTTACAGGTGAACAGACAGCCCTGGGGCTGACACTTTCGGTCTGCACACTTTCAACCATATTCAATATATTAACTGCCAACCTAATTACACTTTGTTTACAGTTTTTTGTGGGGTTTTTTTGTTTTGTTTTGTTTTTTGCCTTAACTTTATTAGATGACTAAAATAATGGGGAGCTGGGGAATCAGGGTTTTCAATTAGTCCTTTCTACTCACCACCAACACATTCTGACTGCTGTGTGTGGGTATTCATCCCCTTTACATTTGGCTATTCCCTTTCTAAAACTCCAGGAATGCATTTTACTTTTGTACACTGAATTGCATGCCTTGACGGCTCAAACTTCTCTTTCGGAGATCCTATGTCCTCTTGGCTAGTTTGCCAGCAGTGAATCCTAACATCACTTGGAGCAATGCTTCAAGTGGCTATCAGCCAAGTTCCTTTCTGAAGGTTCTTCATAAGGGGGCCCAGTCTCACAGTGTTTGTCTTGGAAACATGAAACCACATTTGGATGCCTAGTGCCCATTTAAAAATCAAAACTGCCAAGCACGGTATGTACCAGTAATACCTGTACTGAGGAGACAGTACAGATAATAGGATCACATATCTAGTCAATTAGTAGCTACAGGTTCAGGGAGACCCTGTCTTAAAAAACAAGGTAGATCCAGTTATCAAGGTGCACGCCTTTAATCTCAGCATGTGGGAGGCAGAAGCAGGCTGATCTCTTTGAGTTCAAGGCCAGCCTGGTATACACACAGAGACTTCCCGTCAGGGTGGCCTAGGGTGAAACCCCTGTCTTGGGGGGGTGGGAGGCAGAAAAGCAACTGAGGAAAGCATCCTCTGCATGTATGCGCACACATGTGCACACCAAACTACACACACATGCCTCAGCAGCATACAAACATTAGTGACACAGTCTAGTCTAGGTTCTTGAGCTTCTCTTAATTTTCTGTGTCCTTGTGTGCTGTGTCTTCTGTCACCTCTTAAATCCCATGCTATTCTCCCAAGTAATAGCATAGCGACATTTTCAACGGTCACCTGGATAACTTCAAGACTCTCCCTATCTCTCCTGATTTTAAAACCCACGTCTCAGCTTACCTGTGCAATAGTTCCATTACTCAACAAACATGTCAAATTAACACTAAAAACTTGACAACATTAAACAACAAAAACTAAAGAGAAGATATATGGTATTTCAAAGAGTGTGTGTGTGAGAGAGTGAGTGAGAGAGAGAGAGACAGACAGACAGACAGACAGACAGTCAATATATATGGCTCTAGATGCACTAAAATGTTATTCTGAAAAAAAAAGTATCTAAAATTATGGATTACATATTCGTTCAAGGTCTCAGCACCAAACATACTATGGCTGGAAATTTACAAAAACATCAACAATTTATGGCTGGAGAGGTGACTCAGTTGTTAAGAGCACGGACTGCTTTTCCAGAGACCCAGGTTCAATTCTCAGCACTGAAGGCAGGGCTCACAACCACCTGTGACTCCAGTTCCAGGGAATCTGATGCCCTCTTCTGGCCTCCTCACACAATGCAAGCATTTGGTGCATACATAAATAAGCAGACAAAGTATACATACATATAAAATAAAAATATATAAATCTAAAAAAAGTGAAAAAAAGAAAATGCACCATCTTTTAGAACTAAAGGAGGTCTTAAAGGTCATTTAAATCAGTCCCTCCATCTATTAGATGAGACAAAGAAGACTGCAACAATACCACAGCTAACAGTAATAAATACTATCACGTACTGAACCTGTGCCTCCTGGTGTCTAATGCAGCTTTCAAAATATCCCACTGTCTAACCTGGAGATATGGGGTACCGTATCCCAGAAAACCCACAAAGACAGAGTGAGTAGCATGGATATAGTTATTATTGGCACTATAAGTAAAACTTGGCTGGAAGCCTGTTGTGATTTGAAAGAAAATGGCCCCCACAGGGAGTGGCACTATTAGGTGTGGCCTTGTTGGAGGAAGTGTGTCACTGTGGGGCTGGGCTTTGAGGTTTCCTGTGCACAAACTATGCTCAGTGACACAGTTCACTTCCTGTTGCCTGTGGATCAAGATGTAGAACTCTCAGCTCCCTCTCCAGCACCATGTCTGCCTGCACACTGCCATGTCCTGCAATGATGATCATGGACTGAACCTCTGAAACAGTAACCAGCCCCATTTAAATGTTCTCCGTTATAAGAGTTGCCGTGGTCATGGTGTCTCTTCATAGCAACAGAAACCCTAAGACAGAGGTTGGTACCAGGCACTGGGGTACTGCTGTGATAGGCCTGACCATGCTTTTGCTTGAAGGAATATGGACCATGGGATTGTGGATTAGAAAATGGTTGAACGCTTTAGGTGCTGCTTAATGGAACATCCTAGTAGGAGCATGGAAGACAGGGACACTCAATGTGATTTGATGCACTGCGGGGGGCCTGACTCAAGAGGTTTCAGAGAAGAATTTTAATATGTTGCTTAGAGATCATTCTTGTGACATTTTGGTGAAGATTGTGGCTGTTTTTTGCCCTTGTCCAAAAAGTCTGCCTGCAACTAAATTGAAGAGTTTTGGATTAATTCCACTGGCAGAGGAAATCTCAAAACAGCCTAGTATAGACTCTGTTATGTGGTTACCAGTGTTAACTTTAGTGAAGATTTATAATGAAAAGGAGCAAGCTGAGCAAGAAACACAAAATGTAAAATTGGAAGAGAAAAGGAGCACCAGAGAATGGAGCTAAAAGTCCTGTGTGTAAGGAGATAAACAGATTAAGAAATGGAATAAAAGGACTGGAGACCTCAGGGCAAGATCCCACCCAGCTAAGTTTCCAAGTTATGAAAAGGAATTAAAGAAAAGCTTAGAGCTGGATGTGGTGGTGCACGCCTTTAATCCCAGTACTCCAGAGGCAGAGGCTGGTGGATCTCTGAGTTTGAGGCCAGCCTGGTCTTCAGATCCGGTTTCAGGATAGTCAAGTATAAGCAATGAAAGAAACC